TTTTTTTTTTCATGAAAATGCAAATTAATGCATCATATACTAGAAAAAGTCTCCATATGTTAATAAATGGTTGTTTTTGTGTCTTTGCTTTAGGTTAAATGGCAAAAAGAGGTATGTGTGTAGCATCGCTACAATTATCAGCTCTATAGCAGAAATTAGCAAAATATGTGTTTATCCTGAATAGAATCTTTGTGGGGTTTTTGTTCTTTATTCTTTCATGATAAGTGAGAACAACAATCTCTGAGGAAAATAAAGTCCGCCTCCAAAATTTCTTCAAAGAAGGGATGACCAGGGTGGGATCACCGCTGGTAACGGCTGCTGCAGAGGCCACCAGCTTGGCACCAGCTGTGATAGACGTACGTTTGTTCCTTCTACTACTGCAGATACAGTTTGGCAAGATGTAACTGTGAGCTTATTCTTTTTTTCTGTTTTTTAGAACTGGATTGGAAATCACAGAAGATGTTTGAAAAGATCTGTCCCTAGAAAGCCAAAGAAAAAAATATACACACGGGACCTTTCTGCTTATAATCTTTTCTGCAGGGAGCTTCTGCAGAACAAGGGTGAGAAACAATTTCTTGTAGCCATCATCTGGGTTAAAAAGAATTGTATCTTTTTTAATATAATAATATATGCTCTGTTTACATGAGCCTTTCGTTTATTTGTTTTTAAATCATCCTTATAGACATATCTTACTTTAGCCAAACTCTATTTTTAGTTTATGTTGGAAAATTATGGTCCGGAGGGAATTTTCCTATTTGCTGTCTAACTTTTAGAAGGTTTTCTTAGCTTTCTGCATATTTACACCAGGGTGAACCACATGAGATCAGTCCAATTTTAATGGATTGCTTGTTGTGATTTTTGTTTTGTTAGGGAACCTGAAAGATGTTACTCAGAAATGGTCTTCATTAGGGGAAGCACAGAGGAAAAAGTACGCCGAAGAGGCAGCGGCTCTAAAAGCTCAAGGGAAAGAAGACTGTCTTAGCCCTGAGATGAGGACACTTAAAGTTAAAAAGCACCTCAAGCAACTCAAGTTAGAGGTATGTCATAAATGCTATAACCTTTTAGTATAATTAGAATCGAAACAAAGCAATTTTTCCCCCTACTTTTATCGTTATTGTTTTTGACAATAAAGGAAAGAATGCCCTGATCTCAGCACTCTGAGCATCAGCAAGGTAACCAGAACAAAGTGAACACTCGAACCCAAGAAAGCACCTGTTATCGTGATACAAAAGTCAGACAGTTTCCCAGGCTAATTTATATGTTATCCATTTTTCCCATTTTTCTTTAAATTGAGCTATTTTCAATCTTAAAATGAAGGTAATTCTTTCCATAGTGAATATTTCCTCACCAATGTCCATCCACTGAGTATGGTTGGGCGGCTCAGGTCTGAGCCATCTTCTTGTTATGGCTTTCCTCCCTGCTGACAGTAATATCTTAACCAAATATTGATCATCTTTTTTCACATTAGACATAAAGCCAAGATACATTGTGGTAAAAGTAAATGGTACAGAATACAACAGTACTTTGCACAGAGTAAGGTGGATAGAAGACCAAAAAGGTTTAAGTTTAGGATTTCAGTGCAGTTCCAGAAAACATGTACATGGTTGGTGTCAGCCGTGCATTGCCTCCAGAAACTAAGCTATTTTAGTTTAGTTTGTGTTAGCCTTCTGTTGGTGCTGGTGGACCCCAGCCTCACCTCTGTCAGGTCAGCTGGGGCTACGAATCAGAAGCTCACCATCAAGTATGTGAATGATGTAATGCATGTAGAGTGAAGCACTTTCAGGTGTTCTGGGCACAAAGCACTCTACAGTCATTGGCCATTTGCTGTTTAGTGCTGTGAGAACAAGTTTGCACATTACTTATTTCTTCTTTGCAAGCTTTTTGTGGACCTCAGATGTTTCACTTCATCTAGCAATTATTATTAATAAACCTGTCATCATGGACGATGTCAAAATCGAGGTGGTCTCCACATATAAGTACCCCGGAGTCCACCTAGATAATTTGGACGACTAGGTGCAGGCAAATGCGGCACACAAAAAGGAGCAAAGCTGACTACTTCCTTAGACGACTTATGTCGTTGTATGTGTGTAGGGACAGGCTTTTCCTCTTTTATCAGTCAGTTGTGACCCGCGCTGTTCTGTTTGCTGTTGTCTGCCTGGGAAACAGCATTACTAACAGGGACAGGAGCAGAATAGACAAGTTCATCAGGAGGTGATGAGGAGGGAGGCGGTCCCTATGAAGGAACTGGTGGAGAAAAGGACTAGGGCAATGATGAAGTCCATAAGGGCCAATGGGAGCCATGCATTGTACAGTACTATGGTGGCTCAGGAAAGCAGCCATAATTAAAGACTGATCTCTGTGAGAAGCAGAACAGAGAGATACAGATCTTTTGTCCTGACTGCCATTAGACATTTTGATGCCTCTGAGCA